ACGATCTTGGTCATTGGTTTGTACCTTCGAACTGGAGAAACCTTTCAGAGTGAGACGAACGCAGCAATCCTGGCCAAGCTTCTGGCTCTGCTCACACATACCACCCATCCCTATGTCGTCATAGGTGATTGGCAGAATCAGCCAAGCTCCCTGGCCAGCACTGTCCTATCTTCAAAAATTTCAGTTTGGGATTCTGGCACCAGATCACAGTGTGCTCTCCGGCAACACCATTGACTATGCCATCCTCCACAACACCCTTGCGGGTACTACGTCCATCCTCACTGAATGGGCGATTCCGTGGAGACCACATGCACTACTAAAGCTCCAGTTTGACATCGAAGCTGCAACAAAGGAATATCGACAGATGCCATACTTCCCACCTTTGCCAAAGGTCCCGGACATTGACTTCAGACCTTGGACAACATATCAATCACAGGCCCATGTGGTTGAACTTTATGGCAATCCACCAAATCAAGCAGCACAAGCTTGGGCAGACTGGCTGTCCAAAACGGAGCAATACCTCCTCCAGGAGAACCCGTGGGCGGCCAAGGGAAGGGGTTACCAACTACAGGCAGTCACCAAACCCTTGGTGCCCCAACCCAAGGCCCACGCCTGGCGAAAAGGGCGGCCAGCATTTTGGGACCAACTCAGAGCAGTCCTCCATCTTGCACTGCAACAACCAGTGACTACCTGCACCGGCCGAGCCAAGGGTTTCATGCAGAGGATACGCCACGCACATCGGCACTGGGTTGGGGCTCCTACATGGGGTCAGTTTCTCGACGCGTGTCATCATTGGCACCGATGCAGAGATCCTCATGCGGCTGAATTGCTCCTCCAAACAATTGGACATCAGCTTCAAGAGGCACAACTGGCGGCCCACCAGGAAACCACTTTGCAGTACAGACAATGGCTCCAAGAGGGATATCAAAAAGGCCTGAAAGGACTCTTCAGGAGAAAGAAAAGCAGCGAACTTGCCTGGGAGAGACCATATAGAATGACACCAATGCCACAAAGGATGGACCAAAGGGTCTCTGTCTGGAAGATCAGACAGGACAATGCACCGAGTCCACGACCCAGCCTACAACAAGTAGCACAACAGCAGGCCCAAACCCTTGAGCCTCTGACCCAAGGGATGCTCCAGAGAGTTCTCAAAGCACTCCCTGATCGAGCCAGTGGCCCAGATGCGGTCTCAAGACAAATGCTGAAAAGCATCCCACCACTGGCATTGACACCTTTGCTGCAGCTCTATCAAACCATGGAGCACAATGCAGCTTCCAACTCAGTTGCAGCTACATCTAGTTGTCATGCTACCCAAGAACCAGAAGTTGGAGCGGCCCGTAACGCTCACATCCACCCTTTGGCGTGTGTGGTGCCGCCTAAGGAAGCCGCTCTTGGACAGATGGCAACAACAGCTGCCGGCAAGCATGAATCACGATAAAGCTAGACCTGGTGCAAATGTACTCCATGTGGCACTCGAGCGACTCTTGCGTCAAGAAGTCACCAAAGCCAGAAAGCACCACGGCATCACTGTGTTGATGGACATGTCAACCTTTTACGACACCATCCATCTCGCCAGACTGCAGGAGGAAGCGCTCAAGCTCGACTACCCGCCACTCCTACTTGAACTGGCCATGCAGGTGTACTGTGGTCCCAAGGCCATACTAGCTGAGCAGGAGATGACGCCTTTCTTCCATGTTGATCATGGAGTTCCAGCTGGGTGCCCACAGGCTCCTCTCCTAGCCAAGGCAGTACTGGCTCCTGCACTGATCCCATGGAAAGAACAACACCCTAAGGCCAACTTGTCCAGCTGGGTAGATGATGTGGGCTTCGACCTCACTGGACCTTCAGCCATGCAGGTGGCAGAGCAGGCTGTGAAGGCCTATCGCGATCTTCACAACCGTTTGACAAGCCTGGGTCTGAAAGTCAATCCCAAGAAAACAGCCTTTATAGCCACAGATCGAGACACGGAACAAGCTTTGAAAGGATTGCTCCAAGAGCACGAACCACCGATCTCAACTGTGATGCGAGACTTGGGGGTGGATCGTCAAGCTGCCAGAAGAAGGAGAATCCCAGTTCTACGTCAGCGGTTTCAGAAGGCCAAACAACGGAAGCTCAAATTAAGGACATTGAAGATTCCGGCTTTGAAAGTACGGCTTCGCCACAAAGGAGGAATCCAACCAGTGGCACTCTGGGGCATTGAAGCACAGGGTCTTGCACCACGCTACCGCATAGCCCTCAGACAGGCACTGGCAACCCATTTGCGGCATCATGCAGGCGGACTTCTCGACAGCACCTATGACCTGCACAGCAACAAGTACATTGACCCGGGAGACCAAGTCATCTTGCACCACATCAAGGCCATGCACACACTATATCACAACTGGCCTCCTGAACAAATCCAGCACTTGGAACAAGCGTGGGCTGAGATCTACTACCAACTCAGCCAGAAGCAACATCCATGGTATGTGGTGAAAGGCCCCATGGCAGCTACCATTGCATATATGCTGGAATGGAGATGGCAAGTCCACGACATTCATCGATGGCATCGACCCAGTGGCCCTTATCTGGTAGAGACAGAGATCGACTTCCAAGATCCTTGGTGGAAGTTGGAACGTGCACTGCTTCAAGAAGCCAAAGCACAGCGCACGGCAAGACTAGCCAGCAAAGAGCACCATCAGCACCTCGTTGCTGGCCTTGACTGGATGGTACCAACGTCCACAAGAGAAGCAACGAACAAGTCTTCCAGGCCTTCGTCCAGGGACAGTGCCTCGACCAACCCTACACCTCTACCCATGCCGGCCACACCAGCCATGCACTGTGGCAAAAAGGAAACAAAGTCACATGCGGCCAGTGCGGCATCACCTTGCACTTGGATGGTCAGCAGCGGCTCATCCTCACAGGGGCAGTCAAAAAGCCTTGTAAGGGATCTGGAATCAGTGGCTCACCACCGCTGACGGAGATCTTTAGGAAACAAATTGAACAAGCATCACAACACAGTTCACCGGAATCCTCTGGTGACACAAGCCATACGGCACCACAGGCACCTAGGGCCTTGCATGAGCAGGTCAAGAAACCAAGACTTGACAACAAGAAGCCCGACCGGTCCAGCACCGAAGACCTCCCAGGGCCTACACCACGAAGATTGCATTTCCCAACTGACCTTGACCTTCAGGAACAGGGATCAAAAGCCGATCCGGCTGCTTTCCATGATACCCAGCCAAATGGCAGCAACGGCACAGGCCACGCAATCCGGCCCACAAGCAGACACACCACAAGGGGCAAAGGCTTCTCTGGTTGAGTCCGCACCTCTGGCTCATGACGACCAAGAACATGAAGATGACGAGCACCCACTCAATGTCGACTTCTTTTGAGCCCTTGGCAAAGCACTCAGAGTGAGGCACCTGCCCTAGAAGACCGGCCACCATGGCCAACAGAGCATAAACTTTAGAAGAAAAAATCCACACAGACAGACAGACATACATACATGGCACGGCATTACATTACATGACCAACAAACAGACGGACAAACAAACACACATACATTCCACTCCACTCCATTCCAGTTCATTCCATTCTATGCCACTACATTACATACACACATACATACATGCATACATACATACATACATACGTACATACATACATACATGGCTGCTAGCTCCAACTTGGCACACAGCCCACAGGAGCAAGGGGAAGAAGAAGACACACAAAATGACCCACGCATGGAAGTGGACTACTTCTGATGGCCAACCTCGAGACAGGCACCTTCTGAGAAGCGGCCACTGAGGCAAATGCCACCCGACAATGGCCACCACGGCCTGAGAGCTCTGCACCTCTAGAAGAAAAAAATACATACATACATACATACATACATACATACTTTACATTACATTACATTGCACTACATTACATTGCATACATACATACATACCTTACCTTACCTTTACCTTTACCTTACCTTACATTACATACATAACCATACCATACCATACCATACCATTACACACATATTCTTGTTTTTTTGGCGCGGCTATAAGTGAGCGCGATTGACATGGCTGCTATTGTAACCTGAACTTCTGACAATGAATCTTCACATTCGTGACATGGAGCCAGCCATCAATGCCAGAGATATCCCCATAGCCTTACATGGCCCACAAATAACTGATGGTATAAGAGTATAGCCCGAAGATCGTTTGGAGACGAAGAGTGGTCCGTTCCACACATACTAATCTGTTTCAAAAAAATCCCTCCTGCGTCCTGGCACGCATTGTTGTGGGAGGCCTTGGAGAATCTATGGGCGAGTCGTGCAAAATTTTGAAACGCCACGAAACCATCTGGTCAGCCATGCATGCACAATGAGTCAATGTGGTTGAGGTACTCAATTAAAGTCCGGATGCAGTGAAACCACACAATTCAGCAAAATGGTGCTATGATGTAAATGTTGCTAGATACTCCACTCCGATGAGGACCTTCTGACCCACCACAGGATCCGTGAGTGAGTGGCTCATGACACCTGGTGAATGCCCATCCTCATGAATGGCGCATGGTGTCACTCAGAGCCCAGCACATTAACCTCTTCATCGACCTCTGCCTCACACACACATGCACAAGACAAGCCACAAAGCAATGCCTGCTTCTCTCTCTCTCTCTAAATATTATGTAGGTGAAGTGCATCCGATTGCAAAGTCCAAGCCAGCATCATGAAACATTCCTTCTTCTACTTGCGCACAGTATTCATGTCACTTATTGTTTGCAAAACCCTGATCGCAAGTCGTCCCCTTTTTCTCTGGCCACTGGTCGCATTTTTCTGTTCAAGAGAATGGCTAAGGTCAAACGAGGCACCGGAAGATACCGGAAGGGCATGTTGCGCTCCTCTGGCCTCCTGCCACCGCCCAAAATGAGCCACCACTGCTGGGATGCGGGCGAGATTGGTGGCCGTTTCACGATTTCGTTGAGAACGCCAGCGTCAGTGATTTTGACGCTTTGACTATTGAGCATGACTAAGCAAGATTTGGCTCAGCACTGGTCAAGCCCAGGGCTTTGTGGCATTCCTTCAACAAATGATCGTTTTGAGGGAAGAACACCTTGACATGATGGACGGCCAACTCCGCCAAATGTCGCCTTTCTTGTGGCTCTTCGTGAGCTGATTGAGAGAGCTGGACACAATTCGTCAAAGCTTGGAAATATCCGGAGAAGAAAACTCGCTCCTTCAGGGATGGACAAAGGAAAGCAACATGATCTAAAGAAATCAACATGTCTAGAGTCTAGAGTCTAAAGAACAACAGGCTTGAATCGGCTTGAAGAAGGAGGCCAAAACAGCTGGAGATATATCATGCTCCTTCATGGGTTGAACATGGTTGATTTACTGTGCAAATCCGCACGGCGGATGTGGTGCGGCCAATATTGGTGTATATAATTGTTACAAACCACAATGCACATGTACCAAACAGCGTGCTTATTGAGTTTCAGGTTCATAGATTGCTCCATTGCCTTCCATTCTAACTTGAGAGGAGGGAGACACGAAAGGTAGGACAGCGGGAAGAGAAGAGAACGCGAGAGGCAGGAACAAAAATGCAATGTTCGACATGGTGATTTATCCCCTCGGAGGCGACCTTTCGTAAATATATGTACTCTAAATGTTCAAACATGTGCTCTCGAAATGTTCAAAAAGATTCTTAGGAAAACAAATTTGCCCCATATGGCTCAGATCATCGGTGAGCATTGAATCGGAACATCATAGGATTTGAACTATCCTGAAACCATAAGAGGCTCACGAAGACGCTCCCCAGGAGAGAATTGACGTGCTTCACAAAACAAACTCTAGGTATGTATCCCCTCAGGGAACACCTTTCGTGATTAGAATTTCATATTCACTCTTTCTGAATGTTCAAGAGGGTTTCAACTATCCTGAAATCATGAGAGGCTCACGAAGACGTTCTCCAGGAGAGAATTGATTTTAGAGGGGGGGTGAGGGGTATACCAGTTCCCCCAGAAGTGGCAGTTGGAATAACTGGACCTGATCGAAACACCAAGCAGTCAAACACAAGCGGTCGGTGTGTGAGCTGCGGCGAAGCACACCTTTTCTATGGCAGTGAATGCAGTGGGCTGCTGAGTCTTGAGCCAAATGAATTATGTCGAAAGCGGACTGAAGAGCTACGAATAGATATATGTACAAGAACAGGTGCTACACACGTATAGCGTAGACACGCCCAGGGGGACCTAGGACCCTACTAAACACAAAACAGACACAAATTTTCTTCGCGTCGAAGCTTACGATCTCAAAAGTACAAAAGGTTCGCAAAACGTTGCAAATGAATTCGAAAAGTTCTGACTTCGCAGAACTCGACCGTAGATGCCATTCTGGCTCATCTAGGTTGCGTCAGATAATCTTTACAAATCTACGAAAGGCATACTTGCTGCATCGAACGTTCCGGAATGTCGGAAATCTTCTTTCTCAAGTCGAATCATCAAATTGAAGTCTAATCTATAAGGCCTTAAGTTCAAAAATTATCTGGGTCATTTTACCTGCATTTAGCTTTGTGGCATTTACCTGTAGTCTGCCGGAATATCGGCTTTTCCAGACTACTGCTTCGGCAATGCTCTAGCCGGTATATCGGCTTCTTAGAGCAGAGACTACCTACCAGTCCCTGTAGCCTCGGCACCCCTGGTTCCAAGATGATGAAGAGGAACCGGTGTACCACCATGAGCTTGACGCTCCCGAGGACCAGGGCTGGTGCCAGCCAGCTTGGCGAGCTTGTTTCTTCTGCCGAGATTGTTCCTTCAAACGTTCAAGCCGCTCGGCATTCTTCTCGCCACGCTTCTCGGCGGATTGCTGGCCACGAACTCTGATCTTGCGTCGGCTGGCAAGCGAAAAATTGCACTGAAATGGATGGTGGTATCCCAAATCGCTGCTCTTCAGACACAGATCAAGACGGTTCAGGTGCTTGAGGAATTCGTTGACCTTAATGGTAGTCTCTTTCTGGCGTGGAGGCTCCTCATATCCGACACGTCCACGATCATCCGGAATATCGGATGTCCTTGACCGCAACGTATGCATGTCCTTGCCGTAATTTAAGACGATCTGCAACATGCAGTCGCAATCGGCATCCAGACCTTCCAAAGCAGCGAGCTGCTCACTGGCGAGGGTTGAGACCTCCCAGTTATAGGTGATGCGCTTACTCGGCTCGCGCTTCTTGTTCGCAGAAACAAGAATCTGGTCAAGGATGGTTAGGACTGCTCCGGTTCCTGGATCGGCATGTCGATCGCCCCGGAAGTTGCGGTTCGTGAACTGGTTAGCATCGCACGCGATGACGTCCACCTGGTCTGCCACGGCCGTGATCAAAATCTTCATGATGGCGTTCTTACCGGCCGTAATACCTGACTGAAAGGCATGTGCATTGATGTGGAAAGCGCAAACTCGAAGTTCAGGCATGTGCATGCGCTTGCAATCATTCAAGCTCCCGGTCCGGAATGTCGGACACTCGCGGAACAATGCCTCTGCATCCACTGGTGAAGATTCAATGTATGTGGTGGATGCTTGTGCTACAGCTAAGGTGTCAGGGCAGACTGATGCCTCCATGTTATTTGCTGGATCAGCGCCTTCTTCAAGGGCAACACGGAGGTTCTTTCGGACGCCACGGTCATCGGTGATGCCTCCATCTGTCTCTTCTTCAACCTTTCCCCAGATCACGCGGAATGTCGCGGCATGGGCTACCCAGGCTAACCGTTCGCCTTCAAGTTCAATCCTACGGATAAGCTCCAGTCTTGAAGTGCCAAGTGGATCACTGGAGCATACGGCTGCGATAGCGGGAGATTCGCCATCCGATGTAGCCAACACGCACAGGCATTTGTATTGGTTAAAGAGCTCTCGATGACGCTCGATGCCGTTGGCTTCAAGAAGGATTGTGATATGGGCTGTGTTCCTGACAAGGTAATGAGGAAGCACAGCGTATTGATCGGTCTCGGCGAGATCCCTGGATAGCGGCTGCCTGCCGTTGAAATGAGGTGTACGATTGATATCGCCGAAGTTGAGAAGCAGGACACTGACGTGCTCAGTGGACCGGAGAAGCCGGGCTTCATCGAGGTCAAATACTCCCTGATTCGCGCGATATCCCTGCATGTACGAACGGCTTAGCTCGACAATCTGTCGCATCTCCGCGCCGGTATATCGGCGATTGGAGTCGTAATAGCAACTTGGCCGAATGATTGGGTATGGTGCCACATCAGACTGTTCGTCCCAATGTTGAGCGATCGAGGGAATGGAACGGCTCCTGTAGGTTGGATGGTTCGTGTAATGGTATTTGCTGACTTCTTCGAGTACAATTCGATCCATCGCGGCATAACCTGTTGAGCCGCCACCGAGAACAAGATCTTTGATTTCTTGCAAACGGTGCAATCGACCGACATGACGGTCGTCAGGATGCCAACCCTCGGACTCGGCTGCGAAGGGAATCGTGAAATCAATTTCTGCAGTGATCTCTTCGCGCTCGTGCTCACCCAGCGGTGCCGGCATATCGGCGTCTGGGACGGTCGAACAGAGATAAATGCCCGTGCAGGAACAATGGTTACTGGCATTGTGGTAGCAGTCAAGGCATGTTCCATGTCGACATGCTCTGCAGAAGAAGAGTACTTCAGCATTTGCACAGGTCAAACAGGTCATCTCATCTGGGCGATGATGGAATTTAGTCGGTGCTTTCTGTGCTTTCCTTGCATCGCTGATGACCTCCCGCGCCCTCGATGTCGCACGCTTCTTGGATGTTGCTTCAATGTACTTCGTTTCCGGAATATCGGAAAACGAAACCCTGCGACCCTCGGACGGAGTGCGGGCGGCTCCCGGTGCATTGTCAGCCTTCTTAAGGACAGTACGAGACGGGGTTCGTGACCGTGCACGGGAGGACCAGACCCTTGTGCTCTGCTTCTCTTCTTTCTTGACTGCTGCAGATGATGAGGCTGCTGCTGAAGGATCGTCCGGCATATCGGACTCTTCCTTCTTCACAGTGCCTTTCTTGACCCAGGTGCCTTTCTGGCATGCTTCCGCGAGGTCGTCCACCATGGCTGCGTCTAAATTACTTATGACCTGAACTTCATCATCGTCGTCTGCCGGAATGTCGGCATCGACCTCCATGTCGTCATCATCGTCTAGATCAATCAGGTCATCTCCCTCTTCCTCGGTCGTTTCCGACAACGAGCGCTTCTTAAGACGACGCATGTTATGTTCATAGGAGACCAAAAGTCCGTCGATCGGCAGGAAGTGGTTCATGTTACGCTGCTTATTGCCGGCTGTACTGACGCCTCCGGGAAGGAGACCGTACTGCTTAATCGAGCGGACGTGGCGATACTCCGTCATGTGAACCAGCGTGTCCGGCATATCGGAGAGCTGGCACTTCGGGATCTTAAGGCCGGTTAATGGAGTTGCGGCCCCTCCCGAATGGCTGGAAACGGCTTGCGCAAAAACATGAGCTGCCCTGTACTGCTTATATAATTGGGCCAGCTCCTTGCGATCCTCAGCCGTCATACCGGCTGGGTGGATCCACTGAGAAGGGTTACTAACAAACTTCTCACCCATCTGATGATCGGAAGTGCTCAGAATGCCAACCTGGTACCTGCCTTTCTGATTATACATAATAGTGATGGCAAGCGGTAGCAGCAGGTTAATGCGCTCGGCAGATGCTTCACACCATGGCTGAATCTGAGCCTTTTGCACAGCCGGGAAGGCAGAGTCTTCCTTGGCATGGCAGGTGTGAGCCCAAACGCTGAGCAACTTCCTAAAACGAGCCCCGGCCATCAGCTCAAAAATTGAGAGCGACTGATCGGCATGGGTCCATCCGGAATGTCGGAGGATCCAGCTCAACTCGCGGGAAATCTTATCGTAGAGCTCGCTCTCATAGATCCGGTTTAAGGCCTCTTCGCTGAACTTGAAAAATCCGGACCAAATCATCCACAAGCAGTAGACGAAGGCTGAGCTGACGCCGTACTCTGGCCGTTCGAACGCAGAGTCCATGGCGCTGGGGCGAGGACCGGCATCACGGGAATAGTCCTTACTCTTGCCCTTGCCGTTTCCGCCGGAACGTCGGCGTTCGGCGTCGCGGGACTCTGGTCGCTTACCCTTCCCGCCGGAATGTCGGCGTTCGGAAGTCTGGCTCGGTTTAATGCTCTCACGCGGTGTCAATTCGACAGCTGGCGCGCGCTCTTCACGGGATGGCGAGCG